CCTGCTCATTCAGTCTGTTCTGAGTTGGACTGCACTCAGTCTTCCTCCCTCTGTAGTTTGTGAGTGCTCGGACCAGGTGAGAGAAATGACAGGGTTCAGCTTGTTTTATTTTCTTTTTAAGACTTGAGAAGCTTGGAAACACTGGCATAAATGCATTCTCCCTCTAGGGAACCAGTACGCACAAGTTGATGTGCCTTAGTCTAGGTTCTGTTGCCATGACAAAATACCTGAAGCCCAGTAAATTGTAAAGAGTAGATATTTCTCGGCCTCATGGTTCAGGAGAATGGCAAGTCTAGGAACATGGCGTGGGGTCTGCTGAGCCTTTCGTGGGGGTCTTCTTGCTGAATCATAATGTGCAGGAGAACATCATAAGGAGAGACTGGGGAAGCTTCTTGGACACACCTGGCTTTTATAGCAAAGTCATGTGATGAAATATAAAATGGAAGGACTAAGGCTGTGGCTCTGTGGCAACTGGCGGATGTAGCATGAGGCCATGGGATTCTTAGCACCGCATAACTACGTGAACAAATAATATAAAGGCATGGTCTTCATCTATGTCTAGAAAAAGACATGTGTGTGTGTGTGTGTGTGTGTGTGTGTGTGTGTGATTATATATCTGTGTGTGTTATATATACACACAAAAACTAAAATAATATTTAAGAAATACACTGCAACATACCGGACTTTATGGAGACAGTATATATTTTTTAATACTTATTTTTTAGTTTTAAATGGACACAATATCTTTATTTTTATGTGGTGCTGAGGACGGAACCCAGTGCCTCATGCATGCCAGGTGAGAGGGCTACCACTTGAGCCACATCCCAGCCCCAGGGGAAATGTATTTTATGCAATGGGAACTTGTGGTGTTTGCAAGTTGAATGAGGAGAAAATGATAGAAATGGATACAGAGGTCACTATAACTATCATACCCTCTTCTGATGTCACATGAGGAATGATTGTTTGGCATTGAGTTCCTAAGACTAGAGCACAATGAATGCTGGAATCACTGCTGGCCTTGGAGCACGGCCAGGTCACTGACCACTTGGTCTCTTCCAGCCTCAGCAGTTTCTTTAGTCGTCTGCTTTCATCCAAGGTATTTATCCTCTGATGCTCAAGAACTCCAGAGCCACGAACACTGAGTATAGAAAGCCACACCTGAATGGACAAGAATCTGTGGAAAATGAAGTTTTACCAGGATAGGAGTCCTGATGAAAGAAGAGTGTTTTCAGGTCCCAGTGTGGTTTCTGATGAAAAACAAAAGGAAGGTACTGAAGTCTGAGCTAGTGGCAAAACTGCCACCCTGAGGACATCCTTTGAAGAAGCCCCACCCCCTAAGCCCATCCATCAGCCTAGGAGCTGATCGAGGCAGGACCCACTGGGTGCCTGAAGTCCCATTAACAATCTAGGCTGCCCAGTCTGTTGGTCTAAGGCCAGAAGAGAGCAAAGCAGCATAAATGCTGTGGCCTAGTGTAGAACATGGAGCATTAGGGACAGCAGGACTGAGCTTATAAGTGCCACCGCTGTCCTGTCCTCCTGTTGTCACACACCTGCAACGAGGGATTATACAGTATTCAGTCTTGAGACACCTGAACCCTTCTGGGAGAGCTGCGTCTACTGTAGGCCTCCCGCTGGTCCCACCAGGCCTAGTACCTGGGTCTGCATCTGGAGTAGGACTCCAGGGACCCTGGGACGGAAGCGGAAGTGAGTCAGGCACACAACCCAGTGTCCTGCTGCCTACATTCCCTCTTCCCCATGACCTTGGTGTAAACATTTTCTACTCCTTCCTAGGCAAGCAAACCTGAGCTTTGTCATCCGAGAGCCCAAGACAATGGGATACCATGAGGAACCACCAGAGAAGAAGGCTGAGTGAAGAACAGACATGGGAAGAGGTGGTCACGTGGAAAGTGAGTTCTCAAAGATGAAATGCAGAGTCTTGGTGGGGGACCTGGGTAGTGATGGACACCAGGAATGAGCACACCGGTGCCACCAGAACAGACCTGTCCTTGTTGTTCTCACACTGCGAAGAGGGATCCAAGTGCACGGTGGCCTCAAGAAAGGCCATGCTTGTTCTTACTCCAAGGGGAAGAACACAAGGCTGCTACCCTCAAGGCCTGCATTGGCCCTTCTTTTCTTTTCTCTCTCTTCCCTCTCCTCCTCGTTTCTTGGCAGACTACAGAGGTGGTTTATTTTACTGACTTGCAAAGTTTTCATTTTAGTATTAATTTAAATGTTCAATGAATGACCCCTTCCAGATAATTAATCCTTTGCATATTAAACCCTTATTTCTGCAGGATATCTTCTATCATGGGAAGTACAGGGCAGGAGGAAAACAGTACATGTCAACCTCCACAGGAGGGCTCACATCTACCAGTGGATGGGGCACTCCAGGATCCACAAGCGTTATATAGTGAGTGACAGAAACCTGTTTTTACTTATTTTTTTTAACATTTATTTTTTATTTTTTACTTGTGGGTGTACACGATACCTTTATTTTCTTTTTATGTGGTGCTAAGGGTTGAATCCAGTGCCTCACGTATGCTAGGCAAGGGTTCTTCCCCAAGCCACAACCCCAAGCCCCAGAAACCCCTTCTTCTGGGCTCAGAAATTACAAGGAAGGGCACCTTTCAGTAGCAGATGACCCACAGAGAGCCTCAGAGTCCTGAAGGTCAGTAAGAGGGCTCTCCCAGGTCACCTGCACAGTGTGGCCTGGGCTTCCAGAGCAGAACACAGCATAAAGGGCCTCAGAGAGCCATAGGCTGTCCCTCAAAGAGGGACCTTGAGCCATTCCAGTGCCTGCAGGTAGCCCAGGAAGCCTGTTCCAAGGGCTTTCTCCTGTGAGGCCAGTGCATGGCCATGTGGCACTTGGGGGCCAGGTTTCTCATCTCTACCACGTGAGAGTCCGCCGGGCTGCGCCAGTCAGTGGGCAGGGGACCACACTGCAGCCCACCATGAGCCCAGTCGCCATGGCCAGGCACAGCAGAGGCTCCATGGCCACCTCTGGTGGCGCCATTTACTGCCTGCAGCACAAAATCTCTCCAGATGTGGTGACCTTCGGTGACAGTAGCAATGCCGAAACCAGCCACCCCGGGGCTCAGGTTCCTGTTCTCCCAAAAGAGCTGCCCCCGGCCGCGGCTTCCGGGAATTCAGCCCCTCCTCGCGCTGGGCACCCAGGGCCAGGGCGACCTCCCTGCATTGCAATTCC